GTCGTTCATAGGTAACATAACATCTCTAGGACGATGAACTATTAGTATTGTATTTCATTAAAGATTTAAATACGAAGGAAAGTAAACAAACACTTGAAATTTATATGCGAGTCATCTTGTCATTTGCACTGTTTTATTGAAACAGCCGTGAGAGCTGAACAGATGCAACAGTTCTTTTCATAGCTAACTTTGCTTATTTGTATTACAATATAATCCCAACATGTATGTGAGGCAATTTCGGGCAACTTTTTAGTTTCTGCCCGAAATTACCTCGCATCACGACATTGGATTGTATTGTAAAGCAAATGAGAGAACCTAGCCGTGAAAAAGGTTATTAACTTCATAAAAGTTGATTTGCAACTAGCCTTGACCCTACTTGCTCAGGGAACAAAAGAGGGACTGGAAACATTGAAAACCAATGAAAACAGTGGCGAAAGAAGAAAAGCCGTACTAAAGTTAATTTTAATAGTTGGGTGAGACTGTGCAGTTGGTCCCTCGATTTTAAAATGGATTCCGAAATGTCAGTAATCCCACACATCAAGCCAAACTCTTGGATGCCGTCAAAATCCAATAAGGTTAATGTCGAGAGCAGCGCGTCTGAATCGTCAGAGCCAAGTAAGTTAATCGCCGTGAAACGCAAGTGGAATGGCTTCGTGGAATCGTCCACTCTCCATGGTTTGCAACATGTGTTCACTAGTCGATCTCCCTGTCGGCGCATTATCTGGGCCGTGTTTCTTCTGTTAGGAATGGCGTGGTTCTCTTTTCAGTCGTCCAAGCTAGTGTCAAAATACTACAGCTACCCAGTTGCCACAAAAGTAACCCAGGTTTACGAAGACGCACCAGAGTTTCCAGCTATCACCATTTGCAACTTTAACATGTTCAGAAGTTCTGCTGTTCAGGCAAGCGGATACGCAGACCTTTTTACGTACGTGTTGAGGCAGTCAAGGGGAATCGATGTTTCGAATGACACAGTGGACTGGAGTAAATACGAAAGCACTAACATGACCGAATTCACTTTACTCGCGGGACATCAAATTGAAGACACTTTGAGTACTTGTACTTTCAACGGAGAGCATTGCACTGGGAAAAATTTCACCGCCGTTTTAACTTCTATGGGTCTTTGTTACACATTTAATTCAGGTAAGTTTTTCAGGTGATACAAACTATCTCTCTACAACTGCTTTCTACAGTGTATACTATTAAATGTAGAATAAATTCGTAGTACATCGTTCTAATTTGTTTAATACCTCCTTTCGATTTCAGAAACCCATTTTTAAACTCACAGCTGAAAAAAAAAAATGACTTTCACATGTGCATACCCTATAAACTTTAATATTGTATTAGGGATTAGCAGGGAAAATCTGCGCAGAAAAATAAAATGAAATTATCACGTATTTCCCAGACTTCATGATTAATTTCAAAAAAGGAAGTCCTTTGTTTATATGCGGAGGTAATGTTTGCTAAGGGACCAAAATATACTTTACTTTGATTTTAAATTCCAGCTGCCTGTTTTGATGACTTCTTTGTAACCAGCTTAAGTATATTTGCGTACTCGTAATAGCTAATGGAAGGCTTCCAGTCATGCGCTATAATTGCTGACGTCTAAAAGTTTAGATATTGCTTTGTCGGGGTCTTTTGTAAGTTTTTAATTAATTGCAACACTTTGCATGTGTTTTATATTAATTCGACATCGCATGGTTTAAAAGGTGTTCGCTTGTATCGTGTGTTATTTTTTAAACATATACATATATATTTTTCGTAAACCAACCTCAAGAATAAAACGTGTTAACCAAATGTTATGGTCGCGATTTCGATATTAAAAGGGGGAAAAAAATAGGTAACAAGTGGATAAGATACTGGACACATCAGCTGCAGCTAATTAAAATCAAAAAAAAATTAACGTTCATACTATCTCTTTGGAAGTCTTGCAATAGTCATCTACTTAAACTGCAGAATTGTAATTTAAATTATATTATCGCACATGGATTAAGAATTGCCTTGTTCAGCGTTTAGAAATAAACTCTTGTCCTAAACAAATCACAATCCCTTTTGAGAAGACATTTTTTGTTCCTGCTTCATCGGATAACAGTGTGAGGGGGCGATAAAAATCAACATGCTGGACGTTGTGATGATTTCTAAAGCAAACACTGTAGTTTTTAATTTCGAACAATGAGTGACATGAGCTGAGGTAACCGATTTAAATTACAAAGCACAAATTGTCTGGAAGGCATGTAAAGGAAAGTGATTAAGTAGCTCAAACGCTCAAACAAAAGTTATATTTTAATGTTTACCTTGCCTACGAGCAATAACATAATGAACATAAAAATAAAAATAAAAATACATATAGTGGAACCCCGTTAATACGGTCACCAATGGGCCATGGAAATTTGACTGTATTAACTGGGTGGAGTCAAATTGCATGGCTGGTCTATTTTAAGTGACGTCTTGATGGATATACCTATGTATTGCAATTGCACTTCCAAACAACTGAATAAGCAACAGGAATGTAGATATAATCTTACAAATTAAACCTCAAATCAGTACGAACAGCATTTTGTTATATAACTGGCGTTTTTCCCGGTACAGCGCGCCCATTCATTGGCTAGTTCATAGTCACATTACGTCTAGCAACGAAGCTGTTTCCCGCTAAATGCCATGAGCGGGGAACATTGCGAAAACTATGACGTCTAACGGGAAACAGTTCACTGTTACTTGCGAAATGTTGACCGCTGTTACACGTCATTTGTCAATAAAGTGATTACGTTTTCCAGCGGTTTGACCAATTTGTTTTGTCATATAACAAATCACTTAATAACCGGTCCCTTGGGGAATTGTGAATTTTGTTTCCCTCGAGTCTCAATGTTTAAACATTAAGATTCTCGAGAAACAAAATTCACTGTTCCCCTCGGAACCAGTCATTAAGTGTTAAATAATCCATCAAACATCTTCGCTCGCGCACGATTGGTCTAAACGCGTCAGGTGACCGAATATTCCCCACCTTAAATTGGAGAATATCTGAGAATATTCCCCAATTTTCAAAACTGCGCGTGTTGCGAAAATTATTTGAAGGATAATAAACCCAATAGCCTCCATATGCATTTGACTTTGAAAGTATGCTCGGACATTTGTCCGCGGACATTATCTGTTCGGGGAAGCTCACAGTTTTCCTCGAACTACGCTCTCGGAAAACTGTTCGCTTCCCGGAACAAATAATGTCCACGCACAAATATCCGAGCATATTTTCTCGCCTAATGGAGGCTATGGAAAAATGGCATTGACTTGACATGTTACAAGCACTTTGAATGTCTTTGGTTCAAGTGGTTGTATTAAGGGGAAAAAACTATAAAGGATTATACAGGCTGGGTTTCAGAATGTGGCCGTTGGCCGTGTTAACGGGGTGGTCGCATTAACGGGGTTTTCTTATAAGGAAATATAGAGGGTTTTCGTGGGGACATAAATAATTGACTGTAATGATGAGGTGACCGTATTAACTGGGTGACCGTAAGACGGAGTTCCACGGTATTTAAATTTACTTATAAACGAGCTGAAAGATTCCCACAACTAAGCCAACTTATTTTTACGCAACATTGTCTTTGTGTCTAGGTAAAGATGGTCAGCAGATTTTAAAGGTGAAGCAGGCTGGGACGAACTTTGGACTTCATATTGTGTTAGATGTTCACCAACATGACTATTCCGCCATAGGATATCGCGCAGGCCTCAGAGTTCTTATTCATCATCACGAGACACCTCCATTAGTCTCTCAGCTTGGTTTTGCAGTTGGTCCTGGGACGAGCACATTTGCAGCCATAAATAAACAAAGGGTGAGGCTTAAGATTAATACCAGTCTTCAAGAAACAAAGCGTTAAATCTGGGAGTTTTAATTCCACCATATTAGACCAAAGTTCTTTTCACCTTTTGACACCCTGAGGCCTTCTGAATAATGTCCTATAAAAAAACTGCACTATGTAAAAGCACCTGATATTGTGCTTGTTTTTCACTTCCATGTCCTGGCATGATCGATTCTACATAGTGTTACAACTAAGTTGATGAACAAAATATGCCTGAAAAGTTTTGTTAGTGTTCAGAGGAATCGCACGAGATACAGTCGAATACCGTCTTACGGTCACCTCGTTATTACGGCCACTTTTTTCTCAAATAACAAAACCCTGTTGATGCGGCCATCCCATTAATACGGCCAACGGCCACATTTTGAAGTCCTAATCTGTGTCATCCCTTATTATTTTACCCCGTTTATACGGCTTCCCGAACCAGCTCTGTTCATCTGTCCATCCTTAACACTAAATATAATGTGCTGATTGAAATTGTATTTCTTGCAAAATTTTACCTGTATTTCGGATGCTTATTAAAGAACAGTTGCAGAGAAATGCACTTGTAATGATTATCTGTTAAGACGTCGGTCAATTTAGACCAGTCATGAAATTTGACCCCACCACGTTAATACGACCACCCCGTTAATACGACCAAATTTTCATGACCTTTCATGGCCTGTTGGTATTACTGTAACGAATAAGTAGAAACTGTAATGTCTTATCACGCTAGGTGCTAATTCTGAAATTTACAGAGTTTACCTACCATATTTGGTTCCTATCTACCAACCTACCTACCTATCGACCGACTGACCCATTTACCTATCTATCCATGTCACAAGGTCATTTTTCCTTTTTGTTGCAAGGTTATCAACCTTCCAGAGCCTTACGAAAGCAAGTGTTTGGATAAGAATGAGACTAATGTGCCTGGTTACCCCAAATACACAACCCTAGCCTGTATGTTGACTTGTAAGACGAAATTTGTGGTTGAAAAATGTGGATGCAGGGACGTTGGAATGCCAGGTAAGTTGATTTTTTTTCCGAATGTTCAGTGTTCCTCTTCCAAGTCGTTGGTCAATTAAACAGTTAAGCTAAAGTAGTTTTAGAAATAGAGAACATTTTCTATCGATTTATGTTTTGTTTTGCTTGCCCTGCCGCCTTTTCTTCCTACTGTGATTTTTTCTTTTTTACTCAAAATATTAGATCCTAGATCCGCCACTGAATGTTGCAGGCAAAAAGTCGCAGCTAATCTTTCCACAACTCTTTTGACCTCTACCAAACTTTCACGAGTGTTTCCATATCCTCATAGAAACACAGAGATCCAGAGATGTTTCCTGTTTCATTTAGAAGATAATGTGAAAAAATTCATTCTTTTGAATGTATTTCGACAATAAAAGTGTGAATTTTCTTTGCTCCCTCTATCATTACATTATTTAATTTCTGACGATTAAGGGACGAATTAGTCAGAAATTATAATTCTGACGGCACAATGGAGAGACTCTGGAACGTTTGTGGACTATTTAGGCTTTTATCGGGGGATTTAGGTCATTCTAGGTTAGTCAGTCTTCGTGTTCGTCCTCTTCTTTTATTATTAACCTTTTGTTATAGCAGCTTGTGTGTATAATTGCAAATGTTCTACGTTATTGATTTGGTACCCTTTCGTCGGGGTCTCGTGCCGCTGCATTTAGATGACGAATACGTTTCCACGCATATCTTGGCCACATCTTAAGGGTGTTCTTTTTAGTGGTCTTTCGTGTCTGGCGCAGTATATCATACAGGTTCTAATTGTTAGAAAAGATATTTATAATTTGCAAGGATACAGATTGAGTTGTAACACGGAATACATCTATATCAGATTACTGACCGTGACGCACTCTCAACAGACTATTCACAGGGAATGTCTTGGGTTAGTATAGTCCAAATCTGTAGTTTTCAACGCTGCAATCCACACGTTAACCTACAATGCTTGTGTGACATGGTATTGCATATGTGAACCAGACTAAAACCAACAACAGAAGCAGCACGGGTATTGGTAAAATTTATTTAGTGTTATTCATTTTATTTTTTCTTTACCACAATTTTTGAAACAGACGTGGGTAACTCCAGTGTTTGCAAACCTTTGGAGGCAGTAGGTTGCGCGGCGAGAGAACAAGGTAAAATTGACCATTTACTTTCTTTGTCAGGCATTTACTGCTGTTTAGGTAGACAGATGCAAGAGGTTAGCTCAGAACACTGCAAAACAGCTTTCTATAGGGGCATGGCGTGAGCTTAGCAGGTGCGGAGAGACTTAACCTTTTGATTAAACCTTTGGCCGCATCAGCTATCTCCTCATAGAAATCAGAGAGCGACTGATTTAATTATTTTAGTAGCTTTTGACGAATTTTTTTTTAAATAAAGATTTCCAAGTATTTCTCCTACGTGGCAATGTATGAGTCTTGAGGTAAATCCGAACGATCTGATTGGTTCTTTCTCGATAGGGACTTTGCTAACGGATCGTGTCCATGTAGACGGTCATAAGCCGTTTATTTTGGCACGAGCGCCATATAACAATGCACTTACTAACCTAGCTTTCTCGAGCCGTTGCTACAGTTATATAACGCTATGATTGCTTAAGTGAGTTATAGTGTGGTCATGACGTTGTAGAGTGGTGGTGTCCAACGGTTTCTGAACTGTCAGGTGTCTTAAAGCGTGACTTGTTTGCGTTATTTTCTAGGAAACTTTCAGAAGCTGAAGGGTAACCAGTGCGACTGCCCAGTGCCATGTGATACAATCTCCTTCAAACCAGTCCTGTCCTATGCACTGTTTCCCAACGACAATTACGTGAGACTTACACAGGAATTAAACGGAGAATACGGTTCAAACGTGTCAGAGATAACTCTTCATTACATCCAAGAATACATAAGGTATTACAACTTGTAATTGATCATTGTCAAGACCAATATTATTCCTTCGACCTACGGTGTAAAAGATACTATACTTCAAGCGTGATATGACAGGAGGTGGGTAGGGTTTCAAGGGGTTGTTGCAACTTGACTCCTGGGTTTTTGTTTGAATAGGACACGTCAAAATTATTTTCGCTCGCTGGATATACTTACTCTACAAAATGACGTGTTTAGCACATTATTCAATTCATCTTCTTGCATCAGGCCGCCATATTGGATTTCATTATTTTCTCCATAAACCAGGAAAGGTCGTGAACTGACAAAATTATTCAAAAGTTTTACTGGAATTTAATAAAGATAATAAATTTGCAATGTATGATTCCTAATCATGCACTTCGCAGACAAAGTTAGCAACTGGACCTATGTTATGTTCTTGAAGTTGGCATATTTCTTTCAACAGCCAGAACATACTGGAACTCACTATATACTTCCAAGAATTAGGCTACACGGCCATTGAACAGAAACCTGCCTACGATTCAGGAAGTCTGTGGGGTGAGTGAATGCTATTTACAGAAAATATCAATCGAAGAGAAAGAAGACAGACGAAGTTTGCCCCGTTTTGGATATTTTCAAAACCAGGTCTTTGATATTTGTGATGAAGAGTTGCTATTGTACTCTCGATTTCAAGAGTTTCAAATATTGAATATTGTACATTCTATTGTGTACTCAATTTAAATTCACTTGTAATGTTTTATCTAATTCAGCTCTAGAGCTGTGATTTTAAAGCTTCTATAAACTTATCTCTCTATCGCAATATAAGTTCAAGTGATTGCATCGAAAAAAGACTATTTTCCCTAAGTTTCCTAAGGTTTGGCTCGCAGAGATGTTATGAATAGTACAAGAATGCAATTAAAAAAAAAAAAAACGGGGACCATTGCGCGCTCTTTTGTGCAATATGGATGGCCTTTTCAGTACCTATTTGACTACACGTCTACACGAAAACGAAAAGCCAGCGTTTTCAAATTCCTCCGGTTTGAGGAGCGTTTTCGAAAAGCTCCGTTTTCGTGACGGATTAGTGTAGTAGCTTATAAGGGATATTCTTTCAACTCTAGCCTTATTGATTTTTTTGTTATTTCGTATTTTTCCACAGCCGAAATAGGCGGACAAGTTGGCCTCTGTGTTGGTGCCAGTCTCTTGACCGTGCTTGAGTTTTGTGACGTCATGCTCGCCATTATTGGTATCCGTTTAGGGTTCCGATAAACACTTGAAAATATTTATCTCAACCTTGAAAATAATCTTACCTCTTATTCAAAGGTTTATTTACTTTAGACAATTGCGTTATACCAAAACTGGCTTTACATGGCAGCCCCATGTCTAAATTCTTATCATGTACAAAAATATTCTAAAATCTAAAAACTTGTGTAAAAGGCAAAAGAAAACAGAAAAATGTATGAAGCATTTTGATAAAATTTTTTACTAAATTTAGAAGATGACTGACTGTATGCTCGAGTGAATTTGGTGTTTGGTAAATATTTGGTATCTTCTAGTCTTTTAATGTTTTCTTCTTTGCCTGAAAATTAGCATGTTAATATATCGCTTTGATTATTGTTCGCTTTGTTTTGTGATTAGCATATTGCTTTCAGTCATTTGTTTGTTTCACATTTTATCATTCCCATGTTGTAATTAGTCACTGGGATGTTAGATTGTCATTATTCCATTCATTTTAAATTAAAATACTGGAAAGTGCTTAACCAAAAAAAATAGTGCTTTACCTTGCTTCCACGGTGTCTTGTTTATTGTTGGCTTGTTTGTTTGTTTGTTTGTTTTGCTGACTCAAGGCCATTTTAACGAATGATCTTTTGCTGGGTTTTCTACTCCAGTGCGATGGACAAGGATTGCACTCCGGCTCGATCCCTGTGGCTCAAAATGATTGCAGGGCCACACTTACATTGCAGAATCCAAACATGTATCTTCTAGTTTCATTTTAGTCCGCTAGCAACGCAATCTTGGCCCTGAAACCAAGGCCGAGCGGCAGTCTGCTTTCTCTAATTCCAAATAACAAGATGGTTAAGACCTGCGTACGCATTGAACACAACAAACCCAGTTGTTTGGTAACCTCACCTCTGTTACAAACAAAGCCTTGCGGGGGAGGCCACACCGTCACCTGGCATCAATAGACCAATTTCGATATATTAAAATTCAGCCTAAAACAACAGACCTCAGCACGAGGCTCCGGGGAATGAACCCCACAAACTCTGTATTTATTCCCCGGAACCTCGTGCTGAGGTCTATTGTTTTAGGCTGAATTTTAATATATCGAAATTGGTCTATTATTGTTGTGTTATTTTTGGGTACGTACCCGCTCATGTACAGTAGATTCACGAGTTTCAAAGTTTCTTTGTTTCTTTCTTGCGCTAGTGCTGCGCACTGCTGCCTTTCCTGCAGGCTCGAAGGGGAACGGGGGGTTGAGGTGACGGACTGAAGGAGACAGACGGGAGGGGTAGGTGAGAGATTGACGCCTCATATCTGGGTAAGATTTCTTACAGCCCAGGCCCACTACAAGTACATTGTTCAGGCGATATTTTGGGAATGCGCGAATTAAACCAGTCGTGATTTTCGTGAGATGTGGTCGTAATTTCTAAGTGATATCGCCGGGAGTTTGGATCACAATCCTTGTTTATTACC